GTAAGAGCCACAAAGAAAACCAAAGCTGAAGCAAGACATTGGGGATCAAAGGAAGGATACCTCTGGCTCTCATATGTCCTCTAAATTTAGAAAGGTACAATCTTGGGTGACGAGTTGATTTTATGGTTTTGGTTGAGCAAAATAAGGAATGTAGTGCAAGGTTCTGGGTTGCATTTACCTTATTTTAATCTCAATTTATCAAAGTTTTCCATGTTTTTCTCTGTGCCCTGACACCTTACACATACAAATGTAAAAGATCAAATATCTTCTTGAATATTGCCCAATTTTGTGGTTTGTTTTTGCTTAGCTCAACTTCACACCTCAGATGGATCTGTCGCTTTGAATGCACAGTTTGTAAAATCTGCCACCAGGGGGCTCTCAATCACAAAAATAACAAAAGATTATGTCGAGGCTATCGGTGAATCATGGGTGTTCTCTTTGTACCCAAGTATAATTTACTTGACGTTCTTATCACAGCAGCACATTCAGTAGCAGCTCCCACTTCCTGCAGCGGTCTTTGACGTAACATCTGATGTTTCCTTGGTAACGATAAACATTTTGTTTCTGTCTTGGCGGCTCATCATGGCAGCCAGCCGCAACAAGACACGTCCCGTTACAACTACAAAATTGCGGATTTCTCTGGCTTTGATAACTTTTGAAAATATTTGAGGTAATGTAAGTACTCAACAAAAAATGATATATAACATAATAGCATAGGGTTAGTCAATTTTTAATTAATTTAGATATTTGAATGTAAACATTGTAATACAATTCGACATAAGGGCTGCATCTCAGAATTAGATTTTTCCTCTTATTGTCGTCACATATAACAATTAATCTTTCTGGCCTACAAAATGTTTCAAAAGTCCTCTTTCCCACAGCTTCTCTGGTGTAAAAAAAAGAGAGAAAGATATCACTGATTGAATTTGAAACAGATTATCGAGGTCTGAGGATGCTCTCCGATAATGGCAAATGTGTCTAATTTCTGCAAGTTTAGTTTGCCCGGATGGTCTGTATGGTAGTTTGGTTTATTTTAGAATCTCTGCTGTGTAATCGTTAATCCCAAACTTAGTCAAATGTTGAGCTACACAGACAGAACATACAAAGAAAAAGTCAAGATGACTCATGTTGGATGTAGAAGTTGGCTTGATGAACTGCACATCGACATCACATGAAACATATCTTGAGAAACTGCGAGTGACAGAAATATGCACATAAGTTCATGCCAACATTTAAATCTCACTCTGAACACACGCAAAGAATGAACACAAGTGCTGCCATGAATCAGGAAGGCACAGCGTACTGATTTCCCTTACACACACAACTCACTGAGTGCTTGTTATTTTACCCGGCATGTGACATGAGGCCTGAGACAGAGGTGTCCTTTGTTAGGCTTTACCTACAACTCACACGTTCTCCACGGCAACGGAGCGGGGAAACCCTCAGGGCCACTCGGGTTTCAGAGCCAGACATGAAAAGAAATGTCCACCCCAGCAAGAAAATTAGCCAGGAACTCGTCAAAGTTGACCATCTGCTCGTATGAGAAACTCGTATATCTGAAGCACTTGTACTCGACCTGCACTAGGGGAGGTTTAAAGTGCAGTGCCTACAGCGCCATGGAAGTACAGTCTATTTTAAAACCAAGACTACCAAGACAGTCATTAGGATTAGTTTGCATTTTTCAGTATTTTTTTTTTTTTTAAGATTTATTTTTGGGCGTTTTGTGCCTTCACTGGAGAGATAGGACAGTGGATAGACTGGCTAATTGACATGTGGGAAATGAGCCACAGGTCAGGTTTGAACCTGGGTCACCCGCTTGGGGGACTACAGCCTCTATATATGGCACTAACCCCTGCGCCACCAGCACCCCATGCATTTTGCAGTATTACTTTCTCGATTGAAATACACATATAAACTATAGGACTTGCACTTTCAAACCCTAACGACAGCTGCATTTATTCTAAGATTTGAGATTAATAATTAAATTATATTTAAATGGTTTACTATTTGCTCTTGTTGTTATAAAACTCCAACATTAGAAAATACCACTTTGGCTCTGTTTCCCACATTATGACAGCGTAACAGAGCTGAAGCTGTACAATCACTAAATCCATCCCAGGGGCTGTAAAGGAAACAGTCCTGGAAACAGCACTCAACCTGCTGTAAACTTTGACATGTTGGTTAAAAAAAAAAAAAAAAAAAAAATCCTTTCCTATCCTCCTTCATGCATCATTTGCAGTCTGTGGCCACTCATGGCAGAGACCACTTTCAGCGCGATGGTCCTTAACGCGGCACTTAGTGACACACTCTAAGTGCTCAGGACTGAACGGCTTGATTGGACAACTCATCTCCATTTGTATGCTAATCTACACAGGAGTGTCGAGGCACATGTAATGGAATCTGCTGGATCTGTGTCTCGTTGGTGGTGACCCTTTGTTCAATTATGTCGACAAATCATCAATCAACCCCTCTATTGTAATAATCCAACAGTGTCATTATATCAGCCCTTCTTCTATGGTATTCTGTTGTGCTCCATTCTGAGTGTTTTTTCCCCAGTTTCCCCCCCCCCCAAAAAAACAAGTGTACTCCTTCCAGCCCCGCAGACTTCTGTGATCCTGGCACAGCAGTGGTATAATTTTTGATTCGCTGCAATGCTTTCTCTGAAAATGGCCTTTAAGGAGCCATGCCAAGACTGCAGTTAAAAGACCCTCCCCACCTCCCCACTCCGCCCCGCCGTCTCTTCCTCCTTTCCCATAGCATTTTCTTTTTCCTATTTTCTCCTGCTTCTATTTTTTGTGTGTATCACTTTTACAAGTCAATCTCCTCACCAAGTCATCCGTCTTGGTTAATCAGTCACTCTCTTCCCCTGAGAATAATCGTATTTCCTCATCCAGCACACGTAGCTCCAGTGTTGCTCATAACAACGCAACCCGATTAATTTCTGAGAATTGAAAAACAGACAGTCAAACAGACTCAGTGAATCCATAATGTGCTCTCCATCTCCAAACTCTACAGAACGAGCCAGTTGTTTTGTCAGCGTTGTCGAACACTGCGGCACTGGGAAAAAAAAACAAAAAACAGGCCATCAAGGAGTGACGTTTGTGTGCATCACACCTCCTGCTATTCTCCATTTTCTTTATTGTGAGTTCTCCTGTTTGCATCTATTGATCCTTTAACACTCTGGCAGCGTTTAATATGAAGCAGGTCACCACAGCTGCAACCCGCTGCGTGACTCGGGGAGGTTGAGCGTGTTTGTATGTGTGAGACGGAGACAGTCTCACTTTGTAACTACCTGCTAATTATACTGCACAGTAAACACAGAACGTGTAACCACACCACTGCAGGATATCATTAACTAAAAGGATTAGAGCGCGCTCGGGGCAGGAGGGCGTCCGTGGCTTCTCCCGGTTGAAAATGGACTAATCTAAATGGGATACATCAATAAAACGCTGGAATAAAGTTGCGGGCACTTAAGAGCGTCAGGCTCAAAGTAAGGAGGAGAGTCACTGGCTGGCAGCCGTCCAGTAAATTAGAAGATAAGAAATATTATTCTACTGGCACACCAGCAGCTTGCAGCTATTTAAAAACAGTGAGCTTTATTGATAATTGAATTACTTGGAGGAAAAAAAGACAAGACAAGAATAGAATGCTTGGAGGCGGATCAATAAGGTGATATTATGGAGGATAACGCTGCAGAGGCAAGCAACATAGAATGCAGTGTGTGTGTGAGCATGCTGTATGCACTGTGTGTTGGATATTCATCTGTAAAAAAAGATTTTGAACCAAAAAATTGTACATAAAGAAATGATCGAATAAATTCTATAAAATTTAAAAACACAACATTTACAAAAGCTGGAATGGAAGTGCTGTACAGGTATACAGGTGTGTGCATGATTAAGGTTGAGTGAAAATATCTAAAAATATTAAATACTGTAACACACAGTGTAGTGTAAACAGGAAATACACAAATAATAATACACAATGAATGGGGGTGAATCCTCAATTAGGTCAGATCGTGTGCAGTGGGTCATGATGGGACATGTCCGTTACAAAGCTTTAGATCAATTATAGTGTCATCAAAATAACTCTTGGCTTTTGTGCAATCTCAGAATGTCCCACTGGTATAAAGGAAGCAGCTCACTTGTTAGGCTAAAAAAATGAATTAAAAGTGTGTCTTGTGCATATTTTACGGAACAATAAGCTAAAAATACATTCTACTCTTGCTTATTGAAACCCGGACATTGCAGTGAAAATGTATAAGCTTTAGAACATGTGATGCACCAGGTGATCTTCAAGTGCACTCCTATGTCCTGTACTAGCAGTAACCTCCGGTGTTGAAAAAGGAATCCAATGAGGAAGTGCTAAAAACTGCAGTTCCTTGAGTGTCCTCCTGAGGCTGGCACTAACGTCGAAAATAGACCTGCATCATATTGGGAACGGAGCAGCACGTAGTGGCGCTGCTAGCACGCTCCGGACACGGACCGCGGCGCTCGCTGTGGAAACATGAGCAGTGACTAGAGTGGCAGCAAAGGGCAGCTTAGTGGGCTGCCCAGGAGTATGTGGAGATTGGCTGTAAAAGACCCTGAAGTCACATACATACCACACTCAAAAAGCATGTTTTTTACAGCAGAAATGAACATGTTTACAGACTGGTACAAATACAGATGTTCGTCTGATGAATTAATGTCTGCATCCACACACTGTACTTTTTAACTGTAATCTGTTTTGATTTTAAAAAACGATACGAGTTATGCATATTTAGGCTGACCTGACTGACAGGTGTAACAGTTTGTCAGGAGGCTTATGATCCGCCTCAGCTCCAGCTCTCAGCCTGTTGCTAGTTTGAGAAAGCATTTCCAGCACGGTAACGGTAACGACGGGCTTCCAAAGCCCCCTGCAGTAACCAATGGGTGACGTCACTCAGGCTTCATCCACTATTACTTACAGTCCATGGTCTTGACTGTAACCTTCATGTTTATGTTGTGCGTCTTGTGTTTCAGGTGCTGAGCTGAAGTAGAAATGGCCTCGGACAGAATGGCGACTCCTCAGAGCAGCTCCAGACAGAGCAGCTCGCTCTCTTCATCCCCCATGAGGTACGCAGCTGCTCAGTCCAACTGTCATCATCGGCCATTCTTATACTAAAAACAAATTAAAAATAATATCCTAAGATTGGTTGACATAAGTCTAGATGATCTGGGTAAAAGTTGGCAGTAAAAACAAATAGGCAAGTTAAGTTCAGATACCTGAAATCACATCACACACATGTAGAAACACAAAAAAAAATCAATAACACCCGTGATAGAAATAACCCCATTCTAACCACATGAAGCGTACTGTGGCCTCTATCTCAGTCTGATAATGAGCTGTAATGGTGTCAGTGGTGTGACAGACACTGGTATCTGAGCCGCTCATAGATTAAGGTGACGGGGTCTAGCTTTGTCATTAGACGGCCTCTGTGGTCTGTGAGGAGATGAATTTATCTCTGACATGTTTTGTAACAGATTGTGGGCTGCTGTTTTGAGTTGGAAACAGAAAAATTGATTTACACGCTTATGCATCTGCATTATCATGACACGTTTTAGGAATTACTACAGGTGTTGTTAACCAGGAATGTCTCAGTGCCTGCTCAGCAGAATTTGTGATATTTTCTCTGTTTGACCAGCACTGGCTCTATTATTGTCCTAATTACGATTTCAGTTACGCTACACCGTGGCTGGTTAAATTATATTGTTTCCAATCAAAGTCATAGTCCCTTTCTTTGTGGCAGCCTAATGTTAGCTTGGTTTGGTCTTCTTAAAACCTCAGTCTTAGAGTTTTTTTGGCTGCCCTCTGTAGCTTCAAATGGTGATAAATAAATTCAATCGGGAGAGACTTAGTTAAGAATGAACAATTATTTATTCAACAATTTAGGAAATAAATGTGCAAAGTCTTTGGGGATTAGACTCCATCATGAAGACGTCATGTACTCGATGAGGTAATGAGGCCGACAGTAGGATACCCCCCTATGGAGTGTAGACCCTGGTGGTGGTGGTAGAAGAATGCAGGATGTGATGAGGAGTGGGTTTCTGAGGCTGAGCTGGACTCTGCTGAGCTGGACTGGAGCTGACCGGGTCAAAGAAGGGTCAAAGGAGGGTCACAGCGATCGCACTGAAATGACAAACTGACTGAGGAAGAGAGAGAACAGGTTTTAAAATTAGGCCGCGGCAGAATGATTGGTTGAGAGAGGTTGTGGCAGAGTCGGGTTGGATTATTACTTAAAGAGTAAACGCCCCAAATCAGCTGATCACCAGAGCAGGGAGACGGAGGAAGTGGTAGAGAGGGAGGGGCTAAGTTCAATGAAGAAAATGAATAAATGTGTGAGAGAATGTAACCTGTCTTCCTGCTTGAACTTACACTGAGCTCCATGACACTAAATGTTAAAAAAGTTAAATACAGTTTTAAACCCAAAATAAATGTTTTCATCAGACTTGAATTATTTGCACGATCGACAACTCCGGGCCTCATCTGTAACTCAGACTTAATAAACTTCAGATGATGTTCAGAGTTGTGTGGCAGGTTTCTATGGACTGACATCGGAGAAGCTGCCGATGGAAATTACATCCTCTCCTCCTTCATATCTGTCCTGGGGAAATATTGACCAGCTGATGTTTGTTTGTTCATCACCTTCAAACCAATAAATCACTCTCAGTCAGGATCCTAAATCCACAAAGATTCAGCCGATAGAAAGAGGTGTAAAGGTCAAAACCTTAGTGACAATGCAAATACACATCCTTAAACACACACAAACCCTGTCTTCGCTCACACACATGAGCTGAAAACATCTGTCCTGATTTTAATTGCATATCTGAGGTGCACATCGGCGCACAGACGTCAGCGGCTGAAACCAAATAATCCAGTTGGACACTGAAGCAAAAACAGAGAAGTTGTTTCAATACCTGCCAGCTGACCAACACATGAGCATCAAACCATCAGCTAAACAGCTTTCATCTCCAGCTCGTTCATGATACAATCAGTAACATTAAGTTTGTTTTTGCTTCAATTGACCACCTCCTTCTTTTCTCGGGTTTTATAACGTCAAGCCAAAGAAAACCAATCCAAAGCCCCGTTGTGTGTTTTCAGAAACATCATGGACATCAATCTTCAAATAAACGAAAACCACTAAAGTCTTTTTCTGCAGATCTGAATGACAAACTTGCTACCAGCGCCGTGATGAATGTGTTTGTTGTGAAGTGCAAAGTGTCACACGCTGGTGAAGCCTCTTCATCAGCTGCTTTGGTTGGAGTCTATTTCAGTCATCGATAATACATTTGAATGTATATCTTCTGACAGTCGTGTGTTTACGAATGCTTACACAGTGCCGCAGAAGATGTGTAATGAACGCCCTTCAATATCAAATCAGTGCAGCTGTCACGCAATACACAGGCTACACACACACACACACACACACACACACACACACACACACACACACACACACACAAACAAACCTTGCTGTCTTTGTCTGTCTGTCCCTCACACGCTCTCTCAAACATAGATCCTATTTGTTCAGCGCATGGCTCAGTCAGTAAATCGGGTGATGAAAGGAGCCAAATGACTGAATTGTATTAGAATAAATTGCAAACACAGATGGAGCGCACACACATGCTTTTAGATGACAAACATCTACACAACAGGACCGGCGCTCTGCACGGAGCGGTTTATCTGGACGATCGGGGGCCTCAGGTTACAGTCTGAAAGAGGTTGGGTCATTACTGAGCTGCTTATCCAAGTTTCTGTTCGTCATGTGTTGGTGTGTTTTTCTATTCTTTTTATGTTGTTGATTTGAGTGTGCAGCTCCATGCAGGGTTGTGTGAAGTTGCAGAAGTGTGAGTTAGCTCATGCAGGAGAAAAACACAGAATGTGGGAAAAAGGCATAAAGTAAGAGCGGTCTGCTACAGATGTTTTAAGACTCAGACTTAAAGGCCCAGAGAATCCAAAGCATTGACCTGTCAATCCAGGAAGTAATTACATCTCAATCACAACAAACGTAGCAAAGCCCCGTGCATTCAGACCAGCTGCCATTTTGTCTAATGAACGCTTTTCTACAAATTTGACCAATCAACCAAAGGTTCCAAAGTGTTTTTGTTGTTGTTGTTGTTTGCAATACCCACCAATAAAAAAAGTCAAAAAACTGCAATCCAGGGGCGCTGGTAGCCTAGAGGATAGTGTGCGTGCCCCATGTACAGAGGGTGTAGTCCTCCATGCAGGCGGGACACTTTTCACTGTCCTATCCACAAAATCAAGCTTTATGGGTCACAACAATCCCCCAAAAAGGACACTTTTGAGTGTCAGATTAATGTCTTGCACAAACTGCGATAGGTATATTTTTGTGAACAGGAGATGTGTGCGTGCAGGCGTGTGAGTCAAAAAGAGAACAAACGACAGAGAATTAAGTCAGAATCAGTCAGACTGAGAGACAGAGCAAATAAAAAACAGAGTGTTCTGCTTTAGGTGAGTCTGGCTCTTGGCTAAACATTAGAGGCCGTCTGAAACATCTGGAAGTCAGATGTTTGCCTCTGCTGCCAGGATTCAGCTGTATACCCGTCAGAGGCCACGTTATCCCCTTACCAGGCGCTACTTCGGGAGGAGCGCAGACTCGACCTTCGCCCGCAAAAATCAAGGCGTGACCTACACATCCAAAAGTACCATTAGGCATATGCTTTCACCATTTGCTGAGCTCATCCGTCGCCTCTTTACACGGTGAGGCAGCGATTTGTTCCTCCCCAGTGCAGCTGTAGCCTCGGTTTGTTCAGAGAGTTCTGCTTGGAGACTTTCTGGTTTTCAGTCTGTAAGAATTCTTTAACATCCTATTTGGTCTCTTTGAATATCTGCCTCCATATTTATTACTTTGTGGGACAACAGTGTCCTTGTTTCCTCCGTCATTGGGAGCCAAAGCCACAATGGTCTGCTCCTCAAAATCTTGCAGCTCACTCTGCCCACTTTTCCATTCACTGTGCAGCTCTGGACTGCGGTTCTTTTGTGGTATCCGACTCAAATTTCCATTTGTTCATAAGTGACATCAGGCGTCAGACTGTGATATCCATGAAAACCAGACGTTGGACAACAGTGGAGGCCTTCGTCCTGCTTACATCTTGCTGAATTACTTTCATAACAGACAACTGTGATGGGAATAAACTGAGCAGAGTCAGATCCAGAAAAATGACGGATTAGCTAACACATGTTGCCGTGTTTCTTTTCCAAAAAAAAAGCATGGTGGTGTGCCAATGATACTCTCATGAAGTCTGTGGACAATTGAGAATTGGACAGACGATGTGTTAAAACATTTAGTCAGGGCTTTAATCCAAAACTCCTCCAAGTACTGATCCTCAGAGCCTTCCAGTCTCCAATCTGATCAGAAAGTGTTTGTTTTGTGGACACATATTGTGATCATTTGTAGATTTGTTCTTGTTACTTTAGACTTAGACTTTTTTTCTCCATTTTCTTGTTGTGGAACATTTGAGCCAAGAGTCAGAATTTAAAGTAAAACAAAGCTGGTTTATTGGATGGGTTAACACGTGACTCAGCCTAGGAGACTAGAGTTTGAGACAAAAAGTCAACATTGATTCATTTACTCACTGTAAAAAAGAACATGTCTCATTGGTGAAGAAGACAGTCTGTTTTGGGGGTTTTCAGAGAGGGTGGTTCTCAACTCATCTAGCCTCAGGACCCATCACAAACTCCTCCCTGGAAAATATTGACCCTTATTTCAGATATTTTTCAACCAATCAGATTTATTTAATGCAGAATTGTGCAGTTGGCAGCTGTTTTGTGGCTCAGACGATGCAAAATATTTGACGGAAGCTGCAAACTGAACAAAACAAATGTGTTTAAAAAGCGCTTGACAAACTGTTTGACACCAGGTTTTTTTCCAGGCATATGCTAGAGACCCACTGAAAACAGCTCCGCTACCCACCTTTAGATCCCGACCCACCAGTTGAGAACCACTGGTTTAAACTGTATTCCTATATGACGACTATCCTGCATTCAGCAACGTCCACAACATGCAGTCTCTGTGCAGGCCTTTCTACTCCCATCTGTTTTTATTTTTTTGGAG